AAATCATCTATGAAGGACAGTAAACGTCTGAGACCAGAGCTCTCAAGGGAATAGCAAGAAATCATCTACTAAAGGCCGAAAACAGCTGGGACCCTGCATGTGGGAATCCGGGAGGTTATCTTTAACCTCATGTTACTAGCACTTCCTAATAACGCAGAGTAATGCAAATGCACAGGTTCAACCAGAGTTCACATGTCGGGAGACAGCTCCTTCATCTCCCCCTTTTCTTTTATTTAAATGCAGCGTAAGCCTAACATGATCTGATTGTTTAAACGAATTTTCAATTTTTTCACACGCAGAAGTATCTTTTAAGAACAATAATACAAATAATCATCCGTACCACAAATGTACTATGTGTTAAACTTTGGACAAAGCCTCTGGGATTGAGGCCCTGTAGCTCCTCAGCCATCCCTTTTGCCAATCCCTCTAATGTAATAGAGGGCAATTTTTTATCAAACATGTCCAAGATCTCCTGCTGGAGAGTATTTATATCTAAGCTAATATTTCCTTTAATATCTGGTAAATGATATTTGATGAAATCCCATGTTTATTGAGTCTCATTATATTTATGTGTTGTCACACAATAATTGGTAATAATCCAATCACACTTTAACATGAAGTCTTTTCGGAGATCGACCAGGTGATCTTCTAGCCATTTCACAGTTTCCCAATTTTAGTTTTGAATTCTTGGTCAATTTGAGTTTGTATTTACCATAATTTATGATATTTTTTGTCCTATTATTTACACAGTCATGTGTTTCAATGGTGGTTTGGAGCACAATGCCCACTGTAGTTGTTGTGGCAATGGCAATAAATCCTATGATAGCAGCAACAATCCACTCAATAAATCTTTTTTTATATAATTTTTGCATAATTTTAATCATTAATCCTGACATAGGACTTTTTTTCCATGGCTGAATCAAATTTATGGGCAGCCACATGTGCTTTCTAGCTTTTAAAATTAAAATGCTCAGGTCAAATTAATATTTTGACTGGTATTTAAACAAGTGTATAGTTTGTACTCACTACATTCAACACTTCTTAAAGTCTCATTAAATTGTAATTCCCCCACAGTGAGAACAAAGGGTAACCTAATACATGCTGTTAAATAAATGGATTATAAGGAAACCAGTAATCAGCTGTCCTGGTGTCCCTCATTCAGAGCCCATTATTTCCCCATGAGGGATTTATTAGGGGGTTAAAAAAAAGCAAATTATGAAAGTCTTTTTTTTTTTGTACCTGGTATCAAATTCAAGACCTTGCACTTGTCAGACAGGCACAGTGCCACTGAGCTACATCCCCGGCCCTAGAAAAGTAAATTCCAACACTGCATACATAGTATAATATGTTTATTCAAAGAAAAGAGACTACAAAATAAATCAGTAAACACTCCAAAGATAAATTGTGTCTAAACCATAATAGAATGAGGGAAAGATCCATGGTTTCCTTCAAAGAAAATGATGCCTGAGCTCTCAGGCCTCAAATATCCTAATTCATATACAAAAATGGACAGCAATGATTGAGACAGGGATTCAGGAAAGGCAGACACAGTAACTATTTCAGAGAGCAAATGTAAGTCTTTTAAACAATGTGTGTTATATGATGCTATTTAAAGTGCCTTAGGTAGTTCAGACTTAATGCAACCCCTGTCAAAATATCAAAATCATTTCTCACAGAGCTAGAGAAAGCAATCCTAAAATTTATATGGAATCAGAAGAGACCCAGAATAGAAAAAGCAATCCTGGGGAATAAACGCAAAACAGGTAGCATCACAATCCCAGACTTGAAGTTATATATAAAGCTACAGTAATTAAAACAGCACAGTACTGGCACAAAAACAGGTATGTGGATCAATGGCACAGAATAGAAGAAGCAGAAAGAACCTCAGGCAATACAGCTACCTGATCTTCGACAAAGGAGCCAAAAACATACTGGAGGAAAGATAGCCTCTTTAATAAATGATGCTGGGAAAATTGGGTATCTACATTCAGAAAATTCATTCCAGACTCATTTATCTCACCATGTACTAAGCTAAAAATCAAAATGGATCAAAGATATAAATGTTAAAACAGAAAAAAAACCTGTTGGAAGATAAAATAGGTGCAATTCTTGAAGACCGGTGTAGGCAAAGGCTTTCTGAACAGAACCCCAATGCCCAAGAAATAATACCAAGAATTAACAAATGGGATCATATAAAATTCTACATAGTAAAATAAACAACAGAGTGAAGAGACAATCTATAGAATGGGAAAAAACTCTGCCAGCCATTCCATGGACAGAGGACTAACATCAAGAATACATAAATAACTCAAAAAATAAGACTCCTCAGATAAAAGACCCAATCAAAAAATGGGCAGCCAAATTGATGCTTCTCAGAAGAAATACAAATGGCCAATAAAAAAGTTCTATTACTGGTCATCAGAAAATGGAAATCAAAACTACACTGAGATACGATCTTATTCCAGAAAGAATGGCTATCATATCATTAAAAAAAATCTAATAATAACAAATGCTGGAACTCTACCATATTGTTGGTGGGAATGTAAACTAGTACAACTAGTATGGAAATCAGTGCAGAGATTCCTCAAAACTCTAAAAAGTAGAAATTCCACTTGACCAAGGTGTTCCCCTCATAGGAATCTTCCTAAGAGAGTTAAAATCATATTACGGTGACACATGCACACTCATATTTATAGCAGCACAATTTATAACAGCTAGCTCTCAGAAACAGTGTATATGTCTATCAGCAGATAAATGGATACAGAAAATACGGTGTTTGTACACAATGGAGTATTGCATTGCCATGCAGAAAAATAAACTTGAGGCATTCATAACTAAATGGATGCAACTTTAAAATGTCATTTAATTCAAGATCATAAGATCTAGATCCATGTACATTCATAAAAATTCAATCATTAATACACACACACACACGCACACACACACACACACACACAGAAAACAAATAGGAAGTACAGAGAAGTTCAAATTATTCTGTTTTTTCAAAAATATTTCAATATACTGTATTGTTAATTTCATTTATACTAATAGTTTATCTTAGGTTGTTGAAGTTTTTGTTATTACCTGGTGTTTTGTGTAAGACCTAAAGTCTCACTTCCACTTCACGGAGTGTGAACAGCCGAAAGGCCTCCACGATGCTGGGCCCTAACACCCAGCGAGGCTCCGGGAACACGACGGAGAACCGAGAAGCCCAGGAAGGAACACACCAAGCTAGATGGTAAATAGACCTTTTATTATTCTGGCCAGACAGCACTCCCGGAGCCAGGTGGCTCAGAGAGGCAACTGCTCAGGGGCTGAGGTACTTTTTATAAGGTTTTACTAAACAAAGAGTCAGGGAATTCACAGAACAAGACTGCAAACACATTGCTTATCTTATGCAGGAAATGTTCTACGGTCACCTTTTGTCAAACCATTTGCCCCTGGGTGGGCTGTTAGCCAAGGTAGCAATTAGCATATGAAGAAGCACAGTCTGGCCTATTAGCATGGAGTCACTTTAGCCTATTCAAGTCTTACATTTTGTAAGAATCCTTTTATGTCTTGTACTGAGTAACTACTTTGAAGATAACAATCCACAGAGTAATAACTATTATTCTATTTGATTAGGAAAATTGTTTTATTTTTTAATAAAAAAAGGCAAGCGAGCCTCCGTGGGCGTCGCTAGTGCAGGTAGGGGCGCGGCGCCGGAAGGGGATGTAGCCAGGCGGAGGCGGGACCAAACATCGCGAGGAGCGTGGGGGCATGGCCGGAAGGGGCGTAGCCCGTCAGAAGTGTGACTGAGATTCGGGCAGGCCGGGCAGTCGGCAGCAGGCAGGTAGATCGGGAAGCGGACGGGCCCAGAGGCCAAGAGAAGAGAGAGCGTGGTGGGGCACAGAGGGCAGGCCCGCTGCAGGACGGAGCGTGGTCGGACGTGGC